CCCTACCCCTTCCAGGAACATTTTTCGAGGACCCCCCCTCTGCAAGCTCGCCTACCGAACCGTGGCTGGAGGACTTCAAGCGCGCCATGGCATCTCTGAAACCTGCACCAAGCAAACCACATGGGAACCGCCACGTTTACGTGCCCAAGCCACTCGAGACATGTTCCCATGTCTATCTATGTCGGGACCTGATATTGCCACCGCTAGCTCCCCCATACGACGGTCCATATGAAGTCCTTTTTAGGAAACCCAAAATTTACAAACTGAAAATTAAAAAGAGATCCACGTGGGTGTCAATCGACCGCCTCAAGCCTGCTTTCACATCAGAAGGACCGATGTTTTCCCAAGACCCGAACTTAACAAGCCAATAAGATTGCATAGGATCGCTGGAAAGATCCTACTGGAGGGGGAGTAGTGTGGCGACTACACTTTGCTTCAACGCATGCGCGGGGCGTCAACACTTCACTACGCATGCGCGTGGGACGTCATCAGAGACGCTGGGGATTTAGCGGTAAACATGTAGGCTAACTCCAACGGTCGTTACTCCAACCGTTGTTTCTTTTCTCTCTATAATTTCTCTTGCTTTAAATAAATTAATTTTAATTATAATTTTATCAGCAGCCTTTCCACAAGCCACACCAACACAGCACATCAACAACCACCCTACACACTCATGGACAAAACTTAAGGAATTTGTACCTTTTAGCAGGTATATCGGGATAATATACACTCATAGACAAAACCTAAGAAAGCTGTACCTTTTTAGCACGTATTTCGGGATTCAGACAATAACTCAGAAAGATACACTCATGGACAAATTTAAGGAAGTTGTTCCTTTTTAGCACGTATCTCGGGATTCAGATAATACCTTTGAAAGATATTTGATACACTGACCTATATTGAAGACACACGAGATAACCAAGTGTGAACAAAATTGTCTATGTATCTTTCAAAATTACAGATGAGCGGCGACATCAAAGACTTTCCACTTCCATAAATTTTGTCCATGAGTGTACTTTGGGTTATAAGTAATGAAATAAGAAAAAAATATTTCTTCCATCTTCGAAATTTATGTGCATGATTTATCTAATTATTTTATTGAAAGGGAAAAGAAATAATATTCCAATTCTAACATCCTCTTTAACAAAAACTTGTGCTTTTAATCAAATTCTCTGGAGACTCGATAATAATTGATGTGATATAAATGCTAGAATTCAAATAAACATAGATAATCTTAAACACAGATATTTTACCAACTTTCTATTTAACATAAGGTTTTTTTTTATTAAACAAATTCATTCAGACTTTATTACTATTTTCAATAAACTCAATAGAAAACTGAAACAACTCCTGATATTACAACTAAATATTGCTGAAACATAGTAACAACTCCTGATATTACAACTAAATATTGCTGAAACATAGTAACAACTCCTGATATTACAACTAAATATTGCTGAAACATAGTAACAACTCCTGATATTACAACTAAATATTGCTGAAACATAGTAACAACTCCTGATATTACAACTAAATATTGCTGAAACATAGTAACAACTCCTGATATTACAACTAAATATTGCTGAAACATAGTAACAACTCCTGATATTACAACTAAATATTGCTGAAACATAGTAACAACTCCTGATATTACAACTAAATATTGCTGAAACATAGTAACAACTCCTGATATTACAACTAAATAGTGCTGAAACATAGTAACAACTCCTGATATTACAACTAAATATTGCTGAAACATAGTAACAACTCCTGATATTACAACTAAATATTGCTGAAACATAGTAACAACTCCTGATATTACAACTAAATATTGCTGAAACATAGTAACAACTCCTGATATTACAACTAAATATTGCTGAAACATAGTAACAACTCCTGATATTACAACTAAATATTGCTGAAACATAGTAACAACTCCTGATATTACAACTAAATATTGCTGAAACATAGTAACAACTCCTGATATTACAACTAAATATTGCTGAAACATAGTAACAACTCCTGATATTACAACTAAATATTGCTGAAACATAGTAACAACTCCTGATATTACAACTAAATATTGCTGAAACATAGTAACAACTCCTGATATTACAACTAAATATTGCTGAAACACAGTAACAACTCCTGATATTACAACTAAATATTGCTGAAACATAGTAACAACTCCTGATATTACAACTAAATATTGCTGAAACATAGTAACAACTCCTGATATTACAACTAAATATTGCTGAAACATAGTAACAACTCCTGATATTACAACTAAATATTGCTGAAACATAGTAACAACTCCTGATATTACAACTAAATATTGCTGAAACATAGTAACAACTCCTGATATTACAACTAAATATTGCTGAAACATAGTAACAACTCCTGATATTACAACTAAATATTGCTGAAACATAGTAACAACTCCTGATATTACAACTAAATATTGCTGAAACATAGTAACAACTCCTGATATTACAACTAAATAGTGCTGAAACATAGTAACAACTCCTGATATTACAACTAAATAGTGCTGAAACATAGTAACAACTCCTGATATTACAACTAAATATTGCTGAAACATAGTAACAACTCCTGATATTACAACTAAATATTGCTGAAACATAGTAACAACTCCTGATATTACAACTAAATATTGCTGAAACATAGTAACAACTCCTGATATTACAACTAAATATTGCTGAAACATAGTAACAACTCCTGATATTACAACTAAATATTGCTGAAACATAGTAACAACTCCTGATATTACAACTAAATATTGCTGAAACATAGTAACAACTCCTGATATTACAACTAAATATTGCTGAAACATAGTAACAACTCCTGATATTACAACTAAATATTGCTGAAACATAGTAACAACTCCTGATATTACAACTAAATATTGCTGAAACATAGTAACAACTCCTGATATTACAACTAAATATTGCTGAAACATAGTAACAACTCCTGATATTACAACTAAATATTGCTGAAACATAGTAACAACTCCTGATATTACAACTAAATATTGCTGAAACATAGTAACAACTCCTGATATTACAACTAAATATTGCTGAAACATAGTAACAACTCCTGATATTACAACTAAATATTGCTGAAACATAGTAAAACTCCTGATATTACAACTAAATATTGCTGAACATAGTAACAACTCCTGATATTACAACTAAATATTGCTGAAACATAGTAACAACTCCTGATATTACAACTAAATATTGCTGAAACATAGTAACAACTCCTGATATTACAACTAAATATTGCTGAAACATAGTAACAACTCCTGATATTACAACTAAATATTGCTGAAACATAGTAACAACTCCTGATATTACAACTAAATATTGCTGAAACATAGTAACAACTCCTGATATTACAACTAAATATTGCTGAAACATAGTAACAACTCCTGATATTACAACTAAATATTGCTGAAACATAGTAACAACTCCTGATATTACAACTAAATAGTGCTGAAACATAGTAACAACTCCTGATATTACAACTAAATATTGCTGAAACATAGTAACAACTCCTGATATTACAACTAAATATTGCTGAAACATAGTAACAACTCCTGATATTACAACTAAATATTGCTGAAACATAGTAACAACTCCTGATATTACAACTAAATATTGCTGAAACATAGTAACAACTCCTGATATTACAACTAAATATTGCTGAAACATAGTAACAACTCCTGATATTACAACTAAATATTGCTGAAACATAGTAACAACTCCTGATATTACAACTAAATATTGCTGAAACATAGTAACAACTCCTGATATTACAACTAAATATTGCTGAAACATAGTAACAACTCCTGATATTACAACTAAATATTGCTGAAACATAGTAACAACTCCTGATATTACAACTAAATATTGCGGAAACATAGTAACAACTCCTGATATTACAACTAAATATTGCTGAAACATAGTAACAACTCCTGATATTACAACTAAATATTGCTGAAACATAGTAACAACCTCCTGATATTACAACTAAATATTGCTGAAACATAGTAACAACTCCTGATATTACAACTAAATATTGCTGAAACATAGTAACAACTCCTGATATTACAACTAAATAGTGCTGAAACATAGTAACAACTCCTGATATTACAACTAAATATTGCTGAAACATAGTAACAACTCCTGATATTACAACTAAATATTGCTGAAACATAGTAACAACTCCTGATATTACAACTAAATATTGCTGAAACATAGTAACAACTCCTGATATTACAACTAAATATTGCTGAAACATAGTAACAACTCCTGATATTACAACTAAATATTGCTGAAACATAGTAACAACTCCTGATATTACAACTAAATATTGCTGAAACATAGTAACAACTCCTGATATTACAACTAAATATTGCTGATGGATGCACGCCATCTATCGGAATAAATATCAATGATTATTTTATTTATTATTATTAAATTTTTCAATTATTGATATTTCAATTTTAATTGGTATTTGTCCAATTCTTGAATAGTTTAAAAGCAATTATTATATGATATTTATTCCGATAAATGGCGCACGTCATCAGCAACTTTTAGGTTTACAATCAGGAGATGCCTTTTTTATTAATCAATACAAATCGTTATATAACAATTTAAAGAGCTATTCCAAAAAATGAATTTAATTTTATAAATAATATATTTTATAATTATACCTGTGTTTAAAGAATATTTTACTTTTTTCAATATAGTATACATTTTCTATTATATAAAATGTTAAATATATGTAATTGTGGTTGTTACGTCAATTGTACATAATTGTATTTCAGGAGTTATTATTTATTTATTTTTATTTATATCTTGCCCGAATATATCATTTATCTGACATTATCTTGGTAGATAATGATATCTTTTGGAACTATCCAATTAGCTATTTCCTCCAAGGTAACTTTCCATAAATATATATATTGCTCTATTGTATCCCACGTGGTATAGTGGCTAGCATATCTGGCTTTCACCCAAAAGGCCCGGGTTCGGTTCCCGGGCGTGGTAATATACTTTTTCCGGGTAGTTGGCGCTCTGCACTCCAAGAACCTAGGTTATAAATATCTCTATATATTATTTTAAAATTATAATTCCCTGATCAAATTACTCTTTTAAATCTACCACCAGATGTCGCCTATATAAACCTATTGTTATTGTTTCCTGTTGGCCGGCTCAAATATTCCTGTAGATATGTAAATGAGTTTATATAAAAGAGCGTACCTGGATCTGTAAAGAAAAAAATTCTCTTTGGAGAAAAAAATTGTATTTTTGACTCTACAGATCCAGGTACGCCCTTTTATATAAACCCAATTTATGGATCGCCTTTTGACCTAAAATATGTAAAAAGGTATTTTATTTTCCTTATTCTACACGCCTTAATTCAGGTAGTACTTTCTCAAATTATATGTTCTGCATTCCATAATCTCAATTAAAGCAAATAATGAGATAATCAGTTTTTATTATTTCTACCACGACTGTAAAATTACAAACATACTCATGTATTTAAAGTTGATCAGCAAGTAATAATTCTATAACTCTAATTCCAGAATTAACAGCAGAACATCTATTTTGTAATATATATATGGTATAAAAGGTGGGGAAAGAAACACGCCACAATTTGGAAGAGGAACCCAGGAAACCAGAGAGAGAGAGAGATAGAGATTGAAACTGATTTATTTCAAAGTACATATAAGATTATATAAGGTTAAATACAGAATAAATATAAATATAAATAAATAAGGTAATATAATGATAAATATGTAAATAAATATAAAATATAATTGATAATTATACATATATATAAATATAAAGAGACAAAGGTCGCCTTTCCCGTCAAAATAGACGTCAAAACTAGACGCCATCTATTGACCGTCACCGCAAACTAGCGGTCTCGGGTCGGTGACAAAGCCACAACACCAGCTTTGGCAAACTGAAAAGCGTCCACCTAGAGACCATGGTTTCGGGCTAATGGCCCTCGTCAGTCTAGGGCGGACTTTATTCCATGAGATCCACACGGGATCTAATGGAATCTTGACAATCTGCCAAAGAGGTGTTTAGCTGGCAAAGTGGCTGGGCCAAATTTAACGGGAGAGGCGACCTTTGTCTCTTTAGATTAATATCCTCTCGGCAAAATTTCCATCTATATTTTAGCCATTGATTTGGCCCAGCCAATTTGCCAGCTAAACACCTCTTTGGCAGATTGTCAAGATTCCATTAGATCCCGTGTGGATCTCATGGAATAAAGTCCGCCCTAGACTCACGAGGGCCATTAGCCCGAAACCATGGTCTCTAGGTGGACGCTTTTCAGTTTGCCAAAGCTGGTGTTGTGGCTTTGTCACCGACCCGAGACCGCTAGTTTGCGGTGACGGTCAATAGTTTTGACGGCGTCTAGTTTTGACGTATATTTTGACGGGAGAGGCGACCTTTGTCTCTTTAGATCAATATCCTCCCGACAAAATTTCCATATATAAAAATATATATACAAGGTCTATATTGGTGGCGCTCACCGCGGGAAAGACTCCGCCACCGATGGACTGCGAGAGAGAGAGAGAGAGACGGGACCAGCACAGCAGGGTGGCCGTTCGTGTCGCACACAATCCCCAACTGTCTTAAAAGTCACGAGGTGTTAACTGACGGACCCCAGTGTCTCAAGTTACCGGACTTCACCCTCCCGTCTCTTGTCTGTAGGTTGGCTTTATTATTCCTGGAAGAATAGATATTATGACATATATACATATCTCTCATCTTTCTCAATCATACTATTTTTCTATTATCATTATAATTAAAATAAATTATAGTATGCGTGAAAATTAAAATAACGGTGATTTTCCATTGATAAGCCAAAACCTTCCCATATTTTATCGTGGTATGAACAGTAGAAAATTTGCTTCATTTGATGAATAAGAAATTCTGATTAATAGTTTCATTTCTTTTACAATCTTAAGCGTTTCTTTTCGGTCGTACACTTCCTTTTACTACTTACACTCATGGACAAAACTTAAGGAAATGGAAAGTCTTTGATATCTACGGTCGTCTTTTATTTTAAGGAGACAAAGACAATGATAAATTGGTTGATGTAGCCATATATTTTTCAAACTTCCAATCAACAATTTATCTTTAAAAACAGGTAAATTTTGGGTAAAATACTCATTTCGAAGGATCGGATAAACACATCTGTCTTTGTATTATTCCGCTCTAGTTCTACTCACGGTAAACATGAAAACATATTTCCATTTTTAAAACAACCTTAAACCTAACCCAATTTAACCTATCTGAACACAACCTACCATTGATATACTCGGTGAAATATTACAATTAATGGTGTGCATAAATTAATATTTGTTGTACCCGTTCTGTTATGATGTAATTATTTTTATTAATTGACCTATTACTATCTTTATTTATCTTCTGTTATGTTGTATTTAATGTACAAAATATTTTGAATAATATGGAAATTGTTTTGATTAATTTATAATTATTTATTTGATGAATAACAATGCATAGTGTCCTCGTAATGACTTTATCAAGGTTTATCCATCAATCATACTACGACAATGGGAGTAATATAGCTAATTGGATCGAAATCTCTCATTTGACTGAGTGAGAGACCAATATTACAACACTGAACACTAAAATTCTTCATGAAAAGTATTTTAAAATATAACGTCGCTTTATATATAAGCAATATCCAGCCTCTTAATACCTAGATATTTTATAAGCACATAAACAAAAGAGGCAAATTCAAACTACAAAATGGAATCATTTCGCCAAAAAACTTCAAATATTAATAGAAAGAATTTCTAATCGAACGGTATCGAAGCTAAATTATAAAAAAATACCAAACGTTCTTATATAAATCTTGCTTTCTATCCTATTGTAATCAATAGAATTAATATTCAAACAGCAATTTTGTGATACAAATATGACAAAAAATAGTAATCACTAATAGATAGACTAATTATCAAGGTCTATCCATCAATCATACTACGACAATGGGAATAATAAAACTAATTGGATCGAAATCTCTCATTTGACTGAGTGAGAGACCAATAATACAATTGACCCTCTCTCCTTATACATTGGTATTACTTTAATTTGTCTTCATTCCTATTTGTTGTATTCGTTCTGTGATGATGGAATTATTTTTATTGATTAACGTATTACTATCTTTATATATCTTTTGTTACTGTTGTATTTTGTGTACAGAATATTTTGAAAAATATGGAAATGCTTTAAATAAATTGATTTATAATTATTTATTTGATGGATAATGATGCATAGTGTCATCCTAATACACTCATGGACGAAGCTTAAGGAAGTTGTACCTTTTACCATGTATATCGGGATTCAGACAATAACTCTGAAAGATACATTCATGGACAAAACTTAAGGAAGTTGTACCTTTTAGCATGTATATCGGGATTCAGACAATAACTCTGAAAGAAACACTCATGGACAAAACTTAAGGAGGTTGTACCTTTTAGCATGTATATCGGGATTCAGACAATAACTCTGAAAGATATACTCATGGACCAAACTTAAGGAAGTTGTACCTTTTAGCATGTATTTCGGGATTCTGACAATAACTCTGAAAGATACACTCATGGACAAAACTTAAGAAAGTTGTACCTTTTATAATGTATATCGGGATTCAGACAATAACTCTGAAAGATACACTCATGGACAAAACTTAAGGAAGTTGTACCTTTTAACATTAATATCGGGATTCAGACAATAACTCTGAAAGATACACTCATGGACAAAACTTAAGGAAGTTGTATCTCTTAGCATGTTTATCGGGATTTAGACAATAACTCTGAAAGATACACTCATGGACAAACTTAATAAAGTTGTACTTTTAGCATATATATCGGGATTCAGACAATAACTCTGAAAGATATTACAGTGACCTTCATTGAAGGCATACGAGATAACCCAGTGTGAACAGCCTTTGTCTCCTTAAAAAAATGTACGACCGACGATATCAAAAACTTTCCACCTCTCTTGGTTTTGGGCGATTTGGGTGATTTAAAACTACTCGCGTAGGATGTTATGAAAACGAAGCCGCCCCTGTACGGATGAAGGCCAATTTCCGAAACCGTGGTAGACAGACTGTTGGGATTTCCTCTGAAATTTCCAAAACTGATGTTGTTTGTGGCACTTTATTATTTTTTATAATAATTTACATCATAAAAACATAGTACACCTCTTCCGTCAAAATAAACATTAAAACTAAACGCCATCTATTGTCCGTCGCCGCAAACTAGCGGCTTTTTAAATATTTTTGTCAATTATTAATAATCATAAATATTATAAAAATTATAAGATAAATATTACTAAAAAGTATATATCTCATTTATTTATAAAAGCATTATAATCATATTCCTTGATTATTATGATATCAAGAGAAAATATTGATAAAAATAAATAATGGTATATAAATTTTATAAAAATTTATATAATAGATGTAAAAAGGTATATTTTCGAATAAATTGTTCGTATTAAAATATTATATATATATTCAAAATCACACAAATTAATATATATCAAATAAAAAAGCAAGATGAAAATGGTCTAATTATAAATATCTATTTATAAAAAGATCTAAAACGCCGGGAAATCTATTGATCACCTTAAAAATCCAATTAAACATTAACTATTTGGTTAATTTCTTCCTTCTAATCAATCTAAGACACAATTATCTCCAATATTTACATTCTTCGAGAAAGATAAGCCGAAGAAAAATTAGGAAGTCCTAATGAAATTAACATAAAGTATCCATTTAAGTACCAATAAAGAATCTTCAAAAGCATTCGAGGCAATTCTCTTTCACAATCAATGAAATAAATACCGAAATTACTTTTCTACCCCTTTAATTTCCCCCGCATTTTCCTCCTTCCTTAGTGACAATTTAAAATGATAAGAAAATTATTAAATACATTTCAAACATATCTCTCTATATGCTATTAATATATTTAAAAGAACTGTAATATTGTATGTCTTTTTTTA